TTTTTTTAGTCAAAAACAAGGTTTATTGAAGATTCGCCATATTAGCTAGACTCTTAAGGAATCTGAGCATCTGTGGGCTATTGGCTAGAATGTGAAAATCTGCGCCAAGACCAACTTTTAAAAGAAGGTCTCCATATACTTAGCTGCAATGCCTTACCACAGAATATCAGCAGCCCTGTGCCTTCCCATAAGATACCCTGGATCTTCCCAAAGCAAGGTACTTACAGTACTACTACCAAGCCATGCAGCAAGTTTGACACCTTACTCTTGTGTTTTAGAAGGCCAACCAATGGGTAGGATGAAGGTATGCTGCTTCGCAACAAACCTGCCAATACTTACGCTGGCAGCATTTGCTCTTTTTACTCTAGTCAGGACTGACGTTGGAATGAGAAGCTCCCCTTTTACATACCTGTCCCATGCTGCATGCTGCACAATTTGGCAAGGAAAGGGACATCACCGCAAAGGGAAGCTTGGAAAGAGTGGGGAGATGCCTCATAAAGAGCTGAAGCTTTGATAACTCATGAGTGGAAGGAAATGAGGCGATTGAGACAAATTCTCATTTACTTTCTCTACAGTCAAATTTCTTCCTTGAAACCAATTGTGGTGACCTTTGCCACCAAAGGCCCTGGTTCAAGGCAATATAAGAGCTTGCAGGCAATAGCAAAAGCATATCCATGCAGCTCGCCACTGCATGGGCTCCCCAGGATTAGTGTACACATCATGCCACATAGCTGAGTTAAAATATCGGGGACAGTAAGTAACTGAAGTGGGATATTGGGGAAGGTTCAAGGAGAGCAGGTACCACCTGACTGGAAGGACTTTTATGCACTAGGTAGAAGACTGCCCTCATCGACAATGGCAACCGTGCCTCACTGCTTCCCCTCGCAATCCAACTGGCTGACCTGGGTATGGTTCCGGTCCTTGTGGCTTCACTCTGGTTTGCGAGTGAATTTTGGAAAGCGAGTGAATGCAAACATTCGATTGCAAAGGAATGTGCATCTCTGATCAGCTCTTCTGTTACAGCTGTCCTTCCCTGTGGACCCTCAGTCTCTTTCTACGTTGTTTTCCTTTAGGGGCCTGAACCATCTTAGTAAGAGACGAGCTGAGAGGTCGTCTGATTGCCTAAGATACGCTAGGAAGGAGAAGAGGCAAGCCGGTAGAAAAAATGCTGAATCCCATCCTCTTTTAGGCAGAAAAGGGAAGACAATTACATTTCTTACTGTTGACACTTTACTTTTTGCCGCCCATTATAACCCTGAAGTCTTTAAAAGTTCAACATACTATGAATGCTATTTTTTTTTTAAAAACAGGAAAGTGGAAACATTTTAGTGTGAAAAGTGCCCAAGTATACCTAGTGGTGGCAGAAGACATTTTGTGTCACCTGCAAGAGGTGCCCAAGCGACCCAAATATACATATCTGTCATCAGGCTTGCTGATCCAAGGGTAAACTAGTCAGGAAAGGATGTCTGTCTTGAATTTGACGGGAAACTTTGGGTCGGGGTGTAGAATTGGAATAATCAGGTTGCCACAGGGTCATTTCTGGAATTCTTTTCCAACCCATGTTCTTCCATACATGCCCTATGGCATGATCCTGAGGTTCCATGGAGTCCTGGTGCCAGGCACAGTCTATATAATTACGTTAAAAATGTCTTTTCATGTGGGACCTGCTCTTTAGGGCAATTTCTGGGCAGTTATGAGGGAAGGATGGGGGGGGATGGGCAGGGGCAAAGCGGGTACCTTTCAATGTACCCGTGTCCTCTTCATGTGAATTATGCTGAAGCCAGTGGCTTTGCTGGAGTTCTTTGTTCCAGGGGCAATACTCTCCCTCTACAGCAGGGGGAGCCAAACATCAAGCATAAAGACAGGCATATGGACAAATGGAGAGAGGATCGGGAGAGAAGAGGAGAGAGAGAGAAGTTATCCTTAGCTCAAAGACAAATAAGACTTCCTGTCAATGTCTACATATTCAAATACGTCCATCGTTTGAAAGAAATTCCACCGTCCAGTCAAGAAGTCTTGTTTCCAGGCACTTTAGCATTTGGCCAAGTTTGAAGTTAAGAAGAGCCCCTCCCCCCCAAGTCCACCTCTTGTATTCTTGTCTTGACAATGGTCCCAGGTTCGGGGGATCCAGCTTCTGAGTGGAAGGCAAGAGCAAACAGCACCCTAAACCGCACAAAAGGCAACTAGTCTACAGCCATCATCAGAGCAAGATAACGAAGTCAACAGTGATGTCATATTTACCTAGCATTGTTCTTCTGAACATGCTATGGATATGATCTCTCCTATTCTGACAGACCAGAAGTAGAGTCAAGTACTATGCCAACTGCTGCCCGAGGAATAAGAGGCAGTACATAGGAAGGCGAGCCCAAGGCATCAGACACCCCCAAGGGCTCTAGTCTCCTCTTCCTAACTCCCTGCGTCTTCTCATGCCATCAGTTAATCTTCACAGAGAAGAAAAAGATGCAGATTATTGTGGTGCCCACATCCTGAAAGAGTAGACAGCTGCTCCTTTGGAACAGCAGTGTCTGTATACAAACACGGAAAAGCATAAATATCAGTAGGTCCAGGAATGAAGAAGGGAGGTTGAGCAGGTCACCAGACTAGAAGCTCTTATTCTTCTTCCCCAAACCCTCAAATTCAGGAAGCAAAAGAGTTCTTTGCTTCTGTTTTCTCTTGTTCATCCTCTATCTCATTAGCATCTTGTATCATAGCAAATTTCGAATCACTGATAGTTAGCTTCTTTGGAAAATAAGCTGGGTATCCCAACAGTCTTAGTGTGTTTTAAGCTTTAATAGCTTAACTTCATTAGACTTTTGGGCACACTGTATGTATGAAGTGCTTTGCCTTTGTTTCATGCTTAGTCCCTGTTGAGCCAGAAGGAACAGGCTTCGGTTTAAAACAGTAGCAAAGCACTCCTGATTCCAGGAAGAAACAGATAAGCATGATATGCAGCACATTAATCTGGTGCCAACTATTACAGGGCTGTTAAAAATTTGGTCTGGTGCTATAAATGAAAACCAGGAGGTGTCAGTGCAGAAGAAGCCAAAACCCTTGCTCCCTCCAATCTACACACCTCTAAAATGATATCATTAATCTAAGTTTACACAGCATCTTCCTTCGGTGGAATTCCAAGAGCTATACCTCATTTCTGTTTACCACATTTCATTTCTGTGAGGTAGAAGTGGTAATGGGAGGCAAGGATGACAATCTCCTTTCTATACACAGGAAAATTAGGAGAGAGAGAAGTTAAGTAACAGTAAAGGAGAGTCAAAGTCGAGTTAAGACACCAGAAATCCATAATAAAAATTGTTTCTAGACTGGAGTTGGCTTTCGGGCCTCCAGCTCCTACTTATGGCTTTGGTGAGGGAAAAGTTGGGTGGGAGAAGGAAAAGGACTTCTCTGAAAGGTTTGGTGAAATGTGAAAAAGTCCAGCAATTGAGTTTGGGAATAAGGAATTTGTTGAAAAGAAACTGAGGGAGGGGAAGGAGAAGGAACACAGCTAGCATTGAGAGGGAAAAGGGAGGACCTGAGAATAAAAAGAATCAGTCAGAGCATAAGGGGAAAAAATGGAAGGGCAGAAGGAAGATTTGAGGAAGAAAAGGAAAGAGGTTAACAAAACAAGGCAAAGAGAGTTGGGTATAGCTAGTACTCAAAATGCTAACGAAATGAAAAAAGAGCCAACTCAGAGAGGAAAGTGACAGCTCCAAAAGCCACTTAGGTTTTCTAGGAGAGCCACTACTCAGATTTTCAAAGGAGTGAGAAACCAGGGAGCATTCTGCATCGATCCACAAAGAATGTTTTATATTTATATTTCCACAAAAGTGAAGTGATTGTTTAATCTCTGCATAAGGTACAGGCTGTTTTTTGTCTTAGAAGCAAAGATAAAGAGTCCTAAGGAATACTTTTCAATTCTATTAGTTATCAGGGAGAATGAATTATTTCTTTTAAAAAAGGAGAGGGGGAGAAAAAGTTCAAAGTCAAAACAGTCAAAACAGAGAAAAAAAAGGATCTAAAGTACCAACTAGTGTCAAGACACTGGTGGGTAAAGAGGATGATGCAGAAGGAGGAAAGATGGCTCCTTTGAGAGGAAGCAGCTGCTTGTTTGCCAAGAAAATATAGTATGGGTCTTCAGGTGTCACCAGGTCAGAGATCATTCAATCAGAATCGAAGGAAGGAGAGACAAATAGTGGTAGATGGGGACTGAAGAGGATAACTATTGATGGGATAATCACCATAGAAAGGTCTGCTATCTCCTGGAGACCTTCTCAAGGCTTGTCAAACCAGAAAACTAACTTCAGTTTTATGTGGTCCCAAATAATATTACAAGAATTGCTGAAAATTACAAAGTCCTGGGTAATAAAGTGAAGACTTTAAGGGCACAGGTGGCACTTTCATCACTCCTGCTAATCAGAGGCAAGGGCTCCAGAAGAGAAAAGCAGGTTTGGAAAGTGACCTGCTACTTACATAGATGTTATTAGAGAGCAGGATTTGTTTTTCTGGACCACAGCTTACAGTATAAGGATGACATGTTCCTGGCCAGAGATAGAGAAGGGGAGAAATTGTCTACATATATATATATGTCAACCAAATCAGATACCACAGTAGTTACAATATAGGAAGAGGACCAGTAGTACAAACACCCAGAAATTCAAAGAAGACAAAGTCCAAGAAAGTATGCAGAAATAAAATCCATGGCCTTGGAGAATGTGTAAAGTATAGGTAATGAACAAGTTTGAACACTCTGACTCTCAGTAAAAGTATAAAAAGAAATATCCCTTTTAAAAATCAATCTTGTGTCAGTCCAATCAACGATGGTGACTTTGAGTTGAAAAGATTTGATCCTATGCTTTTAGATCGCAACAACCTCTAGAGCAATGAAGCAGGTTGCCTCAAACAAGGCTGGATTAACTGCTGTTTTTAAAGTAGATTTCTTTAACTAAAAGGGAAAAGAAGAATAAAGAAAATTACTTAGGGTTATGATTAGACCTAGTTTTCCTAACCTTCACTAGATTCTTCTTCTTCTTCTTCTTCTTCTTCGTCGTCATCCTCCTCCTCCTCCTCCTCCTCCTCTTCCTCATTCCCAGGCTCGAGGCGTTTTGAGGTCTCCAGCTCCTCCTCACTCTTCCCTTTTAGAAGAGCATGGATGCGAACAGCTTCCTTCCAAGGCACACCCCCCAGGTCTGAAGGTGGAAGACGGGATTCCTCTTCTTCTTCCTCTTCATCATCCTCCTCCATCTCAGACTCTGAACTGCTACAGAGAAGCCAAGACAGAAGAAACAACCCAAGTGAAGAAACAGCAAATAGCTCTCCAGGGGAAGAGTTTATATCCAGGGGAGGAGTGGCAGCGAGGTGGCGCAGTGAATAGAGCTCTGGCCTTGGAGTCAGGAGAACCCAAGTTCAAATCCAGCCTCAGACACTTGACACTTACTAGCTGTGTGACCCGGGGCAAGTCACTTGACCCCGATTGCCTCACCAAAAATAAAAAAAAAAAGAAGTATATCCAGGAGGTGGGGTGGGGAAGAGGTGTCAGAATGATTTTTTTTTTTTTTGAAGAGAAGGGGCAGTAGCAAGGTGGCAAAGTCTTTACAGGGAACCCTTGAAGGGAAAGAGAAGAATCAGGTACGTTTCTCTTTTCAGAAGGAAGCTGTGAAGGTGGTCAGCTCCCTTTCCTACTGGACTTTAATATAGATAGGAAGCTTTGTGAAGAAAATGAGGGTAAAGTAACAAACACACGATGGGAAAGGTTTGAGGTACGTGTATGTGGCAACTGTACGTCTTCACACACATGCAAATCGGATTAGTAAAAGGACTAGCAGTAAATCCTATAACAACACAATTAGGATTTATTGGGATGAAGTTTATATGGGCTCCACAAAGGGCACAAGTAGAGACAGGCAAATGTTATTTTCCATGAACTGTTTTTGGATGTAAACTCATCACCTTGGGAGCATCAGAAATGCAGATCTTCCCTTCTCATGATACTTGATCTAGTTTGTGGGCTTTTAGTTTCGGTCAATCTAGTATCTGAGGTTCCTAATCTCGGCATTTTCTTCGATGCCTTGCTCTCTCTTACCCCACGTGGGCAATCACAATATCTCTCACATCTAACTCCTTTTCTTCTTTCAGAAGCCTGGAGTCAGGAAGACCTGAATTCAGATCCAATCTTGGACACTTACTAGTGGTGAGACTCTGGGAAAGTCACTTAACTTCTGCATGCCTCGTTTCCTTAACTATAAAATGGGCATAATAGTAGCAACTGCTCTCCCAAGGTTGCGGTGAGGATCAAATGAGATAATATTTGTAAGGCACTGAGCACAGTGCCTGACACATAGTAGGTGCTTAAGAAATGCTTGCTTGGAGGCAGCTAGGTGGCGCAGTGGATAGAGTACCTGCCCTAAAGTCAGGAGGACCTGAGTTCAAATCCAGCCTCAGACCAAACACTTGATACTTACTAGCTATGTGACCCTGGGCAAGTCACTTAACCCCAACTGCCCCCCGCCCAAAAAAAAGCTTGCTTGTTTCCTTCCTTCTATCACACACCATAGGTCAGGACTTTATCACCTTTTGCCTAGATTATTACAACATCCTCCTAACTGATCTCTCTGATTCAAGTCTCACTATTCCAGTCCATTCTACAAACTTCTAACAAAATAATTTTCCTTAAGTGCAGATCTGACCATGTCAATAACTTTCTCAACCAACTTCAGTGGTTCTATTTAAAGCCCTACACAAGTTGGCCCTAACCTACGTTTCCAGGCTCATTAGACATTATCACTCTGTCTCTCTGTGATCACATTCTGAGATCCAGCCAAGACAGCTTTCTTTCCGTTCCTCACTCACAATACTCCATCACCTATCTCCATGTCTGCAAACCTGGACTGCACTCTTTTACCTCCTACTCAGAGAGTCCCCTCTCTGCTGTTATTCAGACACAATCTTTTGCATGAAGCCTTTCGTGATCTCCGCCAACTGCTAGTGGCCTCCCTCCTGTGTATACACAAACTATTTACAAAGTAAGAATGACCAGTGATGATCACAAATGCGGAATATATTGTATGGCGGAAAAAATAAAGGAAAGACTGTCAGAGCCAAACTGAGTCCTTCACAGTGGGATGAGCCGGCAAAAGAAAGGAGGAAGAGAGGAAAGGACGGGAAAATTCACAAAGAGAAGCAGGCAACAGAGCCAGAAAAGGTACAATAATAAAAATAAACTTGGCTAATCTTACTGGAAAAGTACAGAGCGCATGACCTATAGGAAATAAATGGAAACTAACATTCCAACACCTGGTGTTAGAGCCCTGTAGACAACTTCTGTTCTTAGCCAATGTTGCTGTTCAGAGCTTGGAAAAATAACTATGAGCAGTACTTATTAGAGTAGAGGTAGTTTTACATGATACATGCAGGACAGAAGCATGCATCCCTATTCTCTAAAAGAATATGCATGCTGACTCCTCTGAATGTAAGCTACTTGTGGGTAAGAAGGGTTTAATTTCTGCTTTTGTATCCCCAGTGCCTGCACACAGGAGGCAGGTAATAAATGCCTGATTAACTTTTCAGGAGTATTTCAAAAAAAGTTTGTTTTTTCTTTTATGGGAGTAGCAGTGTTGAAGGTAGAATTTGAATGAAATCCAAGCTACCTTCAAACTTGTGGAATGTTCCTGCCCTGAGAAAAACAAATTCCTTCCACCCCCTCAGCCCAAATGGTAGGGAATGTCCCCCCCTAGACCGGCTTCATGGTCTATTAACTCTGAAATCTAATTCTTCAGGGAGGCTTTGAAATGACCAAATACGTGACCTCAAATAAGAAATGTGTGCTTACTCAGGTTGGAAGACATGTGTCTTTCAAAGTTAAGTTAGGGTTGCTGACCAATAATGTACTGAAGGTGCCCGGCTTAGTACAATACTGCAGTACTAGGCATGCAAAGGGTGTTAACATCTGCTTTACTTATATGAAGGTACCAGGTGGAGTCAGTCAATAACCATTTGTTCTTGTTCAGTTGTTTTTTTTCAGTAGTGTCTGACTCGTCATGACCTCACTTGGGGTTTTCTTGACAAAGATATCGTCACTTCCTTCTCCAGCTCATTTTACAGATCAGGAAAAGGAGGCAAACAGGGTTAAGTGACCTTTCCATGGTCATACAGCTAGTATCTGAGGCTGGATTTGAACCCAGGTCTTCCTGACTCCAGGCCCGGCACTCTATGCACTATGGCACCACTTAGCATTCAATGGAGTGCTTACTATGTTGCTATGTGCCAGGCACTGTGCTTGGTGCTGGGGATACAGACAAAGGTGAAAACTTTCCTGTCCTCAAGGACAGGACATGTCCTCCATGTTCAAATAAGGAAGACAACACGCAAACAACTATGTATACACAAGATATATACAGAGTAGATCAAACTGAAAGTGAAGGTGGCATAATTAGAATGCCCAAGCTTAGACCCATAGAAGAGTTGAGAAAATATATGCATCTCCCTCTCCTTTTTGCAGAGGTGGAGGACTATGGGTGTGTTATATTACATATGCTATGATCGATGGTAGTTATGATGGTTGTTTTTTTAACTGCTTTCTCTTCTCCTCCCATGTCCCTACAGAGGGCTTGCAGGGTAGAGGATGGGAAGGAAATTATTTGTTTTTTTGTTTTTGTTTTTCTTTTTGGTGAGGCAATCAGGGTTAAGTGACTTGCCCAGGGTCACATAGCTAGTAAGTGTCATGTATCTGAGACTGGATTTGAACTCAGGTCCTCCTGACTCCAAGGCCAGAGCTCTATCCACTGTGCCACCCAGCTGTCCCAGAAGGAATTTATTTGGAAATGAAGGTGACATAAAGTCAAGATATTCATGAAAATAAAATTTAAAAAGAATTTGAGACTGGGTTAGAAGTCATGTCTCATACTCTAAGCCTGCATTTTATCTACTATGCCACAGTATATAATATTAATGATTCTTAACATTAATGCTTTTTATTTTTTCAAAGGAGTTCAATGCCTTTGACAAATCAACTCTTTCTTCCTCATGAGACATGTGTAGAAGAAAAGCATTCCTGTTCATAGATGGAGTACAACAGAATAGAGATTTGCTTGGTTTCATACTACCAATTTGTGGCAGAAATAGGGGTAAAAAGATGAAGAGATGGTTATAACATCCAGAGAGAGAGAAAGTGTGAGGCCTTTAGAGGGCCTTTCTCCATTGTAGATCCATGCTAACTGCAGAAGAGGGAAATAAATCTATAAGAACGACCACAATGAAAATGTTAAAATGTAGGACTAACGATGCTTTAATGTTTCCCCAGTTTATTTTTATTTTATTTTTATTTATTTTAGTTTTAGTTTATGCAAGTCTAGAAACCAAATGAGTGAACCAAATTCTCTAACAACCTTTGAAAAGTTACACTTTTTCTATATGTCCCTTTCTTTTCAGTATAAGTAAAGATTCAGGTCTAAAAGCTTGCTTCTGACAAGCCCTGTTACAGTCTAAGTGTTTTATAAAGACTGAATTTTCCCCTCTTCTCTCTGGGGAACAGAAAGAAAACTGCCAGGTATTGACAGCTGTTTTTTTTTTTCCTACCCCATCAATAACACCGACTGCTGTGCTATTATCTCCATGGAAGTCCAGTCCATGGAACAGACTGCTGCCCCCTTCATAGGGCCTCCTGTGTCACATTATAGGCACAACGTAAATTCTTTATCTTCAGTTTCACTTTACATTCCCTGGCCCTTATCTGTGTTGGACTTTGGGTGCCTGACCTTTGAAGAGCCAAGAGGAAGGGTGTGGAAGAAGAAAGGAAGCTGTGGTATCTGTAGCTTAGTCACTAATGTTCTGGGTAATTAATACCGTTTTGTTTCAATTTTTTTGAAAAATACTATCTGAAAAATAACACATTTTCTAAGCTTACCTCACACTGCTATTCTTTAAAAAAAATAACTTTTTTAAAGATATCTTTTGTTTTTAACATCACATTTTATTAGTTGTTCAGTTATGTCTTTGTGACTCTATTTGGGGTTTTCTTGACAAGGATACTGAAGTGGTTTGCCATTTTCTTGTCCAGCTCATTTTACAGATGAGGAAACCGAGGCAACCAGAGTTAAGTGACTAGCTCAGGATCACACTGTTAGTATATATCTAAGGTCAAATTTGAACTTAGGTCTTCCTAACTCCAGGCCTGGTGCTGTATCCACTGTGCCACCTCTTCCAATGATAACAAAGGTGAGAATACTAGTGCATGTGCTAGGAGTACAGGCACAATGTCATGAGGAAACAAGGAAAAGGGTCTTTCATGGTCTCTCCCGGCTCCATGGATGACCGATTTGAAGGAAAGAGCCATGAAAGGTAAGGAACTCCTGATCTTCTGGCTTAGACTTGGTTAAGCTCTGAATAAAGTCTTAGGGTGAACTATTTATCCCACAGGGAACAGTGATTTTGAAAAATGGACTTTGTAAAAAGTAACTCAGGTGGTTCTTTTGTACTCCTCCCAGTGACCAGGTACGGTGCCAGGCACAGAGAATCTATTAAACACTTGCTGAGTTCTTGAATTAAATGCTGGTCAGGTCAGTGGTTCAGATGCTTAGGTCAGTACAAAGATAGGCCGTGGAAAGGGGCTCCGGGCAGGAGAATGATCAATGGTTTTGAAGTGAGAAAACCTGGGTTTGAAGATCAACTTTGCTGTTTCCTCATTATGTGAATAGGGCCATAATTCATCTCACCATTGTGTATTTCAGTTTCCTCAGCTTTAAAGATAGGGATAATATTTATTTTATCTACTTGACAGGCTTGTTTTGAGGATTAAATGAGATACTGCAAGTGAAAACCCTTGTAAACAGGAAAATGGTGTGTGTGTGTGTGTGTGTGTGTGTGTGTGTGTGTGTGTGTATTCTCTTTATTTTCCCTTTAGAGGAGGGCCTAAGTTCATTTGGAAACCCAACAGATAATGTTGCTTGCAATGAGGTGAACAGGAATATATAGGGGTTGAAGGCACAGATGTTACATAATAACCTGCTTGCCACGTCCTCTTCGGTCCCTTTGTCCAACACGCTGCTCAGATTGTGTTCTGCTAGGGTTTCCTCAGGAACCTCTTCAAGTTCTTCTGCCTGTTTCATGGACAACCTATAATTCTCCAGCTCAATCCTTTCTGGGGTACCCTTCAGTCTCTTGGCAAGGCTGGGCTCCTCTAAGCCATTCACACTTGAACCTGAAAGACAAATCAAGAAGCGAGGTACTGAGATTTAAATTCAAAGCCTGCATAGAAAAGCAGTGTTTCTGGGGGAAGGGAGGAAGAGAGAGGGAGGCATTAGGAGAAAGAGCACACTTTTAGATCACTCATTATACCTCGTAGGAAAGTTGCCTTTGGGAAAAGGTTGGTAAATCCAGAAAAAACAGTTGAGCAAATCCAATGCTAAGGGATCTAGATTTAGTGCAGAATAGGGAAATCCTCCAACCTGAGAATGGAGGTTGAAGGATTATAGGATTACAATTACTGGAAGGAATACGATAGTGCCAGGACAGTGATAAAATTCTATATTCTCTTCTAGAGAACTTGGTCTGGACTAAAGGAAAAAGGGGAAGGGCTTGAATCACGCAGTAAATGAATTCCAAGCAGAGTTGAAGAAACCTTAAACCGTACAACCAAACATACTTTTTTCAGTGCCAAAAAACTCCAGAACACAATCACAGAATCTCACGAGTGAGAGGAACCCCAGAGACCATCTAGCATAGCCTTATGGGAACAAACTTTGCTATATAATGGATCTGGTTTGTGGTGATCTGGCCTGGTTCTCCCTTGGTCCTCCTGCCTGTCTGGCTGCTTCTTCTCAAGTCCTCCTTTCAGGACGATCATTTATACCACTCGGTGCGTGTGGGAGCCCAAGGCTTTATGCGGTCCCAGACCCCACATTCTCTCTTTCTCCAGGTGACCTTATCAATTTACACAAGTCTACTTGTCATCTCTAGGCTAATGATTTCCAGATCACCATATCCAGCCCCAGTCTCTCTCCTGTGCATCAGTACCATATCTCCAAATGTCTACTGGACATTTCAATCTAGATTACTCTAGGCATGCCAGACACGTACTCATCTTTCCCCACTAATCTACCCTCCTCCGAATTCCCTATTGCTTTCAAGGACACCATTATCCCTCCCATCACCCAGGCCTACAACCTCAGTCCATGTAGTTGCCAAATCTTGTCATTTCTATCTCCATTAGCCTATCTCAAGCATCCATTATCTTTCCAATTCACAGAGTCACCACCTTATTTAAGAGCCACATAATCTCTCTTGTCTGAACAATGACAACAGCCTCCCTGCCTTAGATCTCTCTCCACTCCAATCCATTCTTCACATGGCTGACAAAATGAATTTTTTTTTCTTTTTTGGTGAGGCAATTGGGTGAAGTGACTTGCCCAGGGTCACACAGCTAGGAAGTGTCAAGTGTTTGAGGCCAGATTTGAATTCAGGTCCTCCTGACTCCAGGGCTGGTGCTCTATCCACTGCACCACCTCGCCGCCCCAAATGATTTTCTTAAAATACAGGTCTGACCACTTCATTCCCCTACTCCATGAACTCTAGCAGTTCCCCTTTTGGGGGAGCTAGGTGGCACAGTGGATAGACAGTGCCAGGCCTGGAGTCAGGAAGACTCATCCTTGTAAATTCAAATCTGGCCTCAGACATTGACTAGCGATGTGACCCTGGGCAAGTCACTTAACCCTGGTTGCCTCAGTTTCTGCAACTATGAAATAAGCTAGGGGAGGAAGAGGCAAACCACTCTAGTATCCTTGCTAGAAAACCCCAAATGGGGTCACCAAGAGTTGGACACGACTGAAAATGATGGAACAAGTTCCCCTATTACCTATAAAATTAAATATAAACTGACTCAACACCATACCTTCTTGCTAAGTTATGAATGAGGTTTAATGTACGATAGAATTCATCTTTTCTCAAGACGGGAGGAAAAAGCTCAGCTGCCTTTAATTGGGAATTAGCTCATCCTACTGTCTTAATATAAACAAAAGTAGCAGAAAATGAATTATCCAATTAGATTTAATTATCTTTTTTTCCTTCTTGTCTGCCTATTTGCAGCTATCTCTTTATATTTCTTTAGTTGCTGAGAAAGATCCTGCACTTCTGATTGCTGGCTAGGAGGATGTCTGAAGTCCGAGGGTAGCCAGATTTTTAAGCCAAATCTTACGAGTTTACAAAAAGTTTGCTATCTTTGTGTCTTCTCACTCTTATTTAACTGGCATTGAGTTCTTACAACTAAGTAATCTCTATTTAAGTAAGTGGCCAACATGCCACTACTGTAGTCACACAATAAATATCTCTTATTAAATACCCTCATGTCCCTTTCTACTCTAATCCCCGTTTGGTTTTCTATAAGAAAAAAATTAGATTTCTTCGCCCACTTTCTCCAGATCACAATTTAAGTACCAGCCTCCCACACTTCTCTTTCTATGACAAAGAAACTATTAAATCGCCTCTTTTTGTGGTGTCCTTTGCCACAGTTACCAGTGTTCTTCTAAGAAACTGATAACACATGACTCATTGTTGAGTTCAGATGTGGTGCTGTGAATCAAAGCTTAATTTGATCTGAGAGAATTAGGATCATGACAAAAGTCAACGTATGGTCGAGGATAAAGAAAATCAGGCCTAAAATAAATTGATTACACTCTTCATCTCTTTTCTTTTTCCATTCTGTTAGGGTTTTTTTTTTAGAAATTTTTGGGTAATTCCTGACAAATTGTGCATGTGGTTTCAGTAGTGAAAAAAGGGATAGGGCAACATATATAAATGTGAGTTAGACATATTTCATGGACTGATGAACATTTTTGCAGACTCCAATTTTTTGAGCTGATCTCCAAAGCTGGAATAAGCAATGGTTTGGATCTAGGTGTTTAGCTACTTAAAAGTCTTTGGGGTACATTTGAATTACCAAGGAAATCTGGAATTTGGTAGGGAAAGTCCTCAAATGAGGTCTCTCAACTCTGCAGAAGATGGGTTACTGCAATGCTGATATATGTTGGCAAATCTGGTATATTCATGTATGAGCATAAGGAGGGATAAGGATATGTATATTTGCGTGGCCTGTTGAGTTTCTCTCTCAGATATCCTTATTTTTCAGTATATACACCCATGCTAGAGTTATTTTTGTAATCACTGTTTCATTTTCAGTCCTGAGCTCATTGCACCAAGGGAACTAATCTAAATTGATGATATTTAGTGGGACACAGAATATGTGGATTTTAAATAACAGCAAAAAGGAGGAGGCAAAACAGACAGCATGTCCTCTTCTCTTTATCCTAAATTCCTTCAGACCCTTTACTAGGATAGGTCTTCATTATGCCCCTTTTTCATTTTTTTTTTTAAGTGAGGCAATTGGGGTTAAGTGACTTGCCCAAGGTCACACAGCTAGCATGTGTCAAGTGTTTGGTCTGAGGCCGCATTTGAACTCAGGTCCTCCTGACTTCAGGACCGGTGCTCTATCCACTGTGCCACCTAGCTGCCCCATTATGTCCCTTTTTCAACATTTACAAATCGTGCAGGTGTGGTGCTATGGGCCAAAATTTGGAATGAGTTGACAGTATTAAGATTACACAATTAAGAAGAATAATTCATGTTGCCCCTGTTTTTTCCTTGTTCCAACTTGTATTCTGTCCCCTTCTCTCCATCCAGAGTCAATAAAAAAGAAAGCTGTTGTGTATGACAATATTTGATTATTTCCTTCTTAGTTCACATTTTTGGTAACTACCCTTTATGGAGAAGTTAAAAGGGGAAAAGAGGGAGAAAAAGAATGTTAGGGAAAGAGTTCAATTACTCAAGCACAAACTTTTTTTGAATCTGATGAACAGGGCCAAAAAAAAAAGCATTTATTTTAGGCAGGGCAAAGAAGGCCATGAGATTAAGTCCTTGATGCTGGTAGAAATGAAAAGCAGTAGCCCTCCAACCAAGCAATCTTCTAGGTTTGCCTGTTGTCACCCCTGTGAATATAATAAATGGAAGGAGAGGGAAAGACAGGAAGAAAAAGAGGAAATTATGAGTGACCGGCTGCCTTTGAGACATCGCTATCAGAATCAAATTTATGGTGATAAGACTAGAGGCTGAACAAATTTAACTTGAGGAAACAAAATGAATAATAAATCAGTAAGATTTGCTGCTGCATACCTGTGAAGCATGGGAGGACAGAAGGAAAGAAATGAATGTTGTTCTATAAAGGGTAGTGCCTATTTCACCCTTGAGAGCCAGACCATGATGGTCATCCTTCACCAACCAAACAGATTTTTCTTTTTATTTTCTGGAAGGATGCAAGGCTTTACCCCACAATAAGACTGGAAGTAAAGACTCTGTCAGTCTGTTTTGGAGTGACATTCTTCCCCCCTTCCAGTGTTATTTCTCCAGAGTGTTTACAAGCACCACTGACTAATATATCATCAAGCAAGGAAAATTGCGGTGAAATACCATTCCGCTTAAGGGAGAAGAAATGTTGATTTAATTAGGGCTTGGCCCCAAGAACCAAGAAAGAAACCAGAAATGCTCTAAGCTGTTGGGTTTATTTATACATCAGTCCCCCAAAGGGGATATGGTTACAATTCATAGTTCAGAAGCATGAAGAATTGTTTCACTGTATTTTTTTTTTTAATAATCAGGACAGCTGAATGTAGATGTCATTTGTCGTACTTCGGGGCACAAGCTCAAGGTAATAGAATCTTGGAGCTGGAAAGGATATGAAGAAATCTAGTCCAACCCATACCTGAATAAGAATCCTTTCTATGACAAGATATTACAAGGCTTATTCAGCCTTTTCCCCAAGACCTCTCATGAGGGAAACCAATTACCTCCAAACTTAGCCTATTCCATTTTGGAACAGATCTAACTGTTTGGAAATTTTTATTATACTAACTACAGCTCCAGGACGAGCCAACAATTATTCAATAAATCTAACATTTTAAAGTACCTACTATGCACTGGGAAATTGCAACACAAAGAAAAAAATAAAACAGTCTCCACCCTCAAGGAAAGTACAGTCCAGCCAGAGAAGAGAAAATGTACATATAAAGGCAGATAGAAAATATATTCAAGGTAACTTTTGGGGGAAGGTACTAGCAGCTATGGGGGGGTCAGGAAAGTCTTCATGTGTAAGGTGGCAACTGAATTGAGACCTGAAAGAAACCAAAGTTTCCAAGAGGCAGGGATGAGGAGGGA